CAGGAAGACGGAGAAGCCCCAAGCCCTGTGGGAGGCCGCAGAGGCCTGGAGGCTTACTTAGTACTTCGGTTATCTCTGGTTAGCGATATTACCCGCCCATAGTGGAGAATCAAACGGAAAATCAAGTGGAACATGAGAAGGAAACTGGGGTTCATATAGGCGTGATATACTTTACCGTTGATCGGAAAGGAGTGAAGGAATGGAAAAAAAAGTAAACTACTGAATGAAGTATAGTATGTACAGGGACACTTAGGGTTTAGGATTTGGGCCCTTATTAAACAGGCTTATTCAAGGGGGGCATATAGGGTTGTATAGGCCTATATAGGGTCATATAAGGATATGGGCAAGAAAGGATTGAAAGGGGTGAATAGGGCGTATGTAAACCCAATAGTGGAAAACCAAAGGGAAAATAACATTATGAAATGGAACTTGGGGGCTGACGGGACATACAGGTGGGCCTCCAGGCTCATGGGGCAAAGCTTCCCAACTGCGATGCAAAAGCTGCGCTCAATGCACCTGTTGAAGGGACCAATGGGGAGCCAACTCAGCTAGATCTTTCGGAATTGGGTTCCTCCCCAAAAACACAGCCGTGGTACCCTACTACCAGACCTTTACCATCCAATGTGTTCGTGCATCCACAGAATCTTTGCTTGGCAGGCTGGTGCCAGTCTTCCTCCTGGCTCGTCTTCAGCCTGCAAGCAGATAGCTGCAAACTGTGACGGTTGGGATTTGCAGCGGCAAGACAAACATGGGATTGTACTGCAGGGATGAGGAAGCTATTGCAATGGTGAATCAAGGACAGTTTTTGAAGAATGTAGACCATGTACTGGTCAGATGCAGTGTCTGACGAACATAGACGAAGGACTTTGCCCATGAAGCAGCTTTATGAGTCCATTCCAGAATTCTGCATGGTTGCAGGCTGAAGCACCGCAATCGCGGTCTGTAAAGCCTTCTGAAATGCCTCAAACCTAAGCCTGCCAAAAAGCAAGACCTAAACCAAGCATTGTCCAAGGTATGTTCGGAAGCCCCCGCCACTGCCGCAGAAGAAGGAGGACGCCTCGGTTCAGGCAGAGCCTCTCTGTGTGAGAACACCAGAATGGGTCAATACACGTTGTGGCCGAGGAAGTCTTTGAGGCCCTGAATGGGCAGGCAGAGGCTCTTCAAAGGTTGCGGACAAACCTTGCGGAGCCAGGAACTGAGCAGTTGCGCAAGCTCCGCTTCCGAGTTGTAGTCAGAGGCTACCAGGATTTGGTAGAATCCATAAACAGTGGGACCCAAGTTTGTCCCTGAATTCTTGTACCCTTCCTTGGTATGGGATCCTCAAAGTTTTGAGAAACACCATGTGAAGTCTTGTGTTCAGTTTCAGGATCTTTGGCCTCTCTGCTTTTTTGTCTCCGGCACGCAAAGGCTGGATGCCATGATGGCACGGCTCACCCACCATGAGTCCGCTCCTCGTTGCTTACCGTAGCACCTCTTCGCACTCCACTGAGTAGCACTAGTATCTGGGGATACTCAAGTCCAGAATGTGGAGAAAGATTACCCTCTCCTTGTGGCTATGGTATTCCATAAGGGACTAAAGACGTACTGAATTCAGCCACCAACAACCGGCAACTCAACTGGCAGTTTCGGGTCCCAAGCTTTCCAGCTAGGAGCCTCGATGCCTGCATGAGGACAGAGCGGAGGTTCTGCAGAGTCTGTAACCTCCACCTCTGCATGGTCGTCCTCCAACCATTGCGAGAGCACTGTTAATGTTTGTACCGACGTATCCAAGAATTTGAGCAAGAGGATTACAGATGTTGCACGCAGAAGACCTTGCTATCAAAGCCCGAAATCTAAACTCCACCGTATGATAGTTTCTACAGGAGGGGAACATAGACCCAACAAAAAAAAACATTGTTATGGGGACCCCTAAAAGAGACGCCGCGATTTTTGGAGACCCTCATATCTGCAATCCACAAGTCAGCTCAACAAGGCCAGTGGCCACTAGCCCTTCTGCTTCCGGCGACGCAGCACAGTTGCAGGTTGAACTTTGGCTTGCTCTAGTTTGGCTGAAGGTTGCTGGCATTGTGATATTGTTTGTTGGTTCCTGGTGGGGATCTGCCGCAATTTGAGAACGTTTCAAGCCTGCCTGGTAATGCTCAGCGTCTGCGCAGGCTCCCCGCTGCCCTTCAAGGCCTCCCATGGTGCAGAGAGCCTCGGCTGTTCGAAGTTGTTTGGGGACTAAATCTTGATGTCTTACAGTGTGGTCTGCAATCCGTGCGTGCGAGTTATCTAGGGCTGATACAGGGTTCTAGGGTTTAGGGATAATGCAGGGGATATATGGGAACAAATAGTAAGAATAATAACAAAAACATTGTTAATCTCATAATATGAGATGGCGTATTAGGTGTTTGTGTGAGCTTTCCTGAGGGCACCTCTCTGCCGGATCGGTCGTCGTGCGCGCTCCACAAGTTCCGCAAGCCTCGCAAGCTCCGCAAGCTCCGCAAGCTGTTCAAGCTCCGATCGATTCGGCCTCAGAGGTGGTTTCGTGGATTTAACAAAAAAAATCAAGCTCTGTGCTCACTCACTTGATATAGTTTGTTGAATTGGCTTCGGTCATTCAGAGTGCTGGGATAGAGAAAGTGGCTGGCCGCTCTGCTGGCTTGCCCTGTGTTGTTCGGAGTGCACTTGTAATTTCTTGGATCATCTGGCAACTCTCTTCGTGAGTTAGTCTTGCAGGCAAATTGTTCGCATTGCCCAGACTCGCCAGGTCAGTCGCAGGTAAGGCAGACAGGTCTAAGGATTCACCCGCAGAAGCATTTTTTGTGCCACAGCGCTTGGGAAAAGGGGCAAAGGTCATAGAACAGATGGCACCCACTGAGCGCTGCTCGACCCGCAGTTCCAACAAAAGCAGTACCAACCAGAATTATGAGAATAACAATGGCAAGAATATCAACAACGATAATGATAGCAATAGTAATGACAATAGCTAGCCTCAGTCAGGCTTCAGCCTCAAACCCCAAACCCTCAAGCCCATTATTCCATGCAACTTTGTTCAGGCCCGAGCCCACATGTCCGTGACGTTGCCGTGCTCGAATGCAGTTTCGCGGGTGCCTGGAAACAGCCACTTATGTTTGGGATATTCCTGGGAACGGCAAAGCACATGGAAACTACTGCTGAGGGTTTAGGATTTGGGGGCCTTAGATTACTGGGATACTCCTGGGCAGAGATTTTGAAGTAATTTTGATGGACCCGAGTCCTTACATAGTTCCTACAAAGCCAGAAGAACTTAATTCATGTAGGGCCACTAACTCTATCCCAAATGCGTGTTCATGGTTGGTTGCATGCCAGGCTAGAACTGGAGGCTTGGAGTCCTTCGCTCCGTAGAGTTCACGACAGCATGTCATCATCCAGAGCTCGCAAAGTCTAGGTTTTGGCCTGGGTTCCCCTTAGACATCAGGGGTAGCTTTGAAAAGACTGTACAGTCTTGATTATCCCTACTTGCTCCATAATCTCTATAAGTCCATAAACGTTTGGTTTCTTTGGGGCCCCCAAAGCTACTCGTGTAAAGTTGAAGCCTCCTGGAGGGGGGAGCTTCATGTCAAGGGTCCAGGGCGGACGGGGTCATTGGGCTATTCCTGGAGAAATTTCGTTGTCATGGCTCATCGTCCCTGTTTATCTCTCCGCAGCTAAAGTTTTTTGCAGGGCTCCAAAATCTAGCCGAGGGCAGAATGTGTAATTTGCAAATTCGAGGGGTTTGTAAAACTCAACAGCTTGGGCTGTGGACAGTAAAAACAATCTACAGGGTCCGGGCGACGGAGAGGGTTCGAACAAATTCACAGTAACGGACATTTTCATGTTCTCTCTTGGCTCTGAAGTTTGGGCCCAAGCTCGGGGATGAAGGAACAATGGAGAACTTTGGATGGCGGCCGGGGATGCAGCCTTTCTTGCGAGGTCAGCGGAACCTGGGGGTACTCCTGGGAACACGTATAATGCATAATACTCTCTAGATATTGCTTTATAAACCCATTTGAGATCGAGTTCTTGGAGGGTTCATAAAATTTATCCCAAACACCAGCCAGAGCGGGAGGCTTCAAGTTCAGCAAGGCCACTGGGTGGACCATTGGGCTTGGTGAGAACTTAGGCTTTGGGGTTTGTGAAGTTTCTTATTGTCTGAACTTCGAGTGTGTCTGGAAGCGAGCTTGCGCTGGTATTTGAGCACCCTTTGAGAGCGATGCACGTTCATCAGTGCTCGCTTGGCCGGGTACCAGCTCCGGAAGTGGTTCGAATTTCGCCATTGCATGATGAAAGCTGTGACTCCGGAAGACTTGAGGGAGCTCATGATAACCGAAACCTTGATTGCAAGGCCTCCTGCTTCGCAGACTTGGAGCATGAGCTCACGGAGTTCAATCTTGCACTGGCTGCTACTGCAAGAAGGAGGCAGTGGACCAGGGCACTGGCTCTTCTTTCTGCCGCAGCACCTTGACTTGCATTGGTGAAAAGAACCTCATCTAATGAGCCTCGAAGTTCAAGAAATGAGCCGCGTTCCGACATACTTCCTGCAAGCCGGTAGTCCATCATGCATGTGCCAACTTTGTTTCTTTCTTCTAGATATGGAACCAGGATTCAAATTGGCCCTAAACAGGCGGAGCTACTTCTTGAAGTAATGGGTAACGCCACCACAATGCTGCAAACTCACACGAGCTAGTGTCAATCTAGGCTTGCCATGGGACCATTTAGCGTGCACGTAGGGGTCTCTTGTCCCTGATACATTCCCTAAGAGGAACTCATGTCCACTAAGTATATGGGAAGCATTTTATCCTTGTAATCCCTTATGTAATCCTGGTTTCCATTTGATTTTTGATTTTGTTTTTTCATAATATCGTTGTTTATCCGTATATACACCATTTCAGGTAGCTAGGGTTTCCATTCTAATTTTTCCACTTTCTCTCTGTTTGATTCTCCATTAACTACGAGGGAAGTAGTAGCTGTAGCTCACATGCACTTTGCGGTGTTGCCAGGAGAGTCGGGCTTTGCAAGCCGACGTGGTGTCCTTCAACACAGCCGCTAATCTAAGGTCCTTGGTTTGTGAGGTTTCTAGGGCATTTCATAGGTATAGAATGGCCCATGCTGGAGGTCTATAGCTCCAATCTTCGAGCTAAGCAGGAGTTATGCTTGGGCTTTGGTTTTGGTTGCTGCCACTTGGATCCCCACAGAATCCTGCGACGTTTGCTTTCGGGCTGGAGGTTTCTGCGTGCCGTAGGCCGGAATGCCTTTATGTATAACAATATCTGTCTGTCTCTCTCTCTCTCTCTCTCTTTCTCTATATATATATATATCTGTTATACATATGTGTATTCCATATACATCCCTTTCTATCCGTATGTATCCCTGTACATCCCCATACAATCCCTGCATAGCCTTTTTCTATTGTTCTTACCGCCCCCCAAGGTGATCTCTGGATTGGACCGAGCCAGCTGTTGGCAGCTGGCCATCCAGCTCTTTGAAGGCCTGGCAGGATTTGGGGGCTTCTGCAGTGACATAAAAGGAGAAGATGAAAACTCCTATTCAGGATTTGGGGTTTAGGGTCTAGGATATGTAGGGGTCGTATGGGCATATCATCCCAAGTAATGGCGAATAAAATGAAAAAGAACATGGAACAGCAAAAGCAACCTGGGTGTTTTATGAGGATGTGTTCCTTACCTGTAGGTCCCCAAAGCCTACCCTAGTTGGCATAAACCAGTGTATGTATGTATAATCCCACCTTCATTTCATTTTCCAGTTCCTTGTCCACTTGATTCTTGATTATTGGGGGTTTGTAAGTGCCCAAATCCTACCCCAGTTGTGTGAATCCCTTCAGTACTTGCGCCCGACCGAAAGCAACAGCAGCCCTAGGGCCTCCAGAAACTTAGGAACAATTTCCATTCTTTATGAACCATGGTCCTTAAAAGTCCCAGCAAACCCATGAGGCTTTAATTTTCACGGGGCCCCAGAATCTATCTCATAGACGTCTGTGGCCCTTGGTCTGCATCAGTTAGGACTTGACAGCCAGGAGCTTATATGTAGAAGCAAAAGAAATGGCTGTGCACTTCATCCACAACCTTGAACGCTGGGTGAGCTCTCCTGAAGGTCTGGACGATCGAAGCTTGCAGAGTCTCTGCTGAAGTTATCAGCCTTTTCTGTTAGTATGCCAAGGGCTCCCCACGCTCAACACCGCAGCTTCTTTCTTGAGTGAGGAAAGATCTGATATCCTTCAATGCCACCCTAGCTGCCTGCGCGCGAGCCGCAGGCTCGCCGGTGTTTGATTGATGCAGGGATTCCCAACAGTCTTTGTGCTGCCTTGCCCAGGCTGATCTCATTTTGGTCTGGAGGAAGGATTGGGGGTAATGCTTGCGCTGTTGTCCGATATTGTCCGGGTCTGCACTGAGAAAGTGTCCGCACGCGCCATGGATAGTCAGGAAAGTGATTAGCTTGTCCAAATTATGGTCCCTTGCTAGGTCCTCATTATAATATGGCCCCTAATCTTTTGGCCTTCCAAAAAGGGACCATACTTTCAACAATCCCCCTTCTGGCTGAGGCTGGCCTCAGGCTCTGGCAGTGTTGGAAGATCTGATGGCCAGCCGCCTCGCAGGACCTTCTGAATTTCAGGGATGTGGGAGTTGATCTAAAGGTCCTTTGGAGAAAGGGATTCCTGTAAGTCTATATGGAAAATATAGTGGACATCAATTTTCATAATAGTGGCTATTTTGGGAAAAGCAACTTGGATCAACCGCCATGTGGGGTACAGCCTTGACGAGCCTCACTAGAAGGTCCTTGCTTGGTGTTTCACCTGAGCCCTGCAACAGTCTGACTGTCCTCGTCGGAGCAGCAGCTTTATCAGCCCTAAACCCTCAAGCTTAAAGCCTAAACCGTGTAGTCTTGTCAGGAGATGTCGTCACATTCACGGCTGCTGTAAGCGCCTGCGAAAGGTCAGGCGAGTGGGAAAAGGCCTGAAGCTGGACTGCAAGTTCTCAACTGAATTTTTGGGGCCACATCTGAACTATTCCTTGAAACGTCTCCTTAAGGTTCTCCTTAAGCCTCCTTCAGCTATCTTGAAAGTGCTTCGAGACATTCTAAGTCTAAGTGCTTGCTCTCAAGCTCTGGCTATTGCCAGAGTGAACAACTCTCTAAATCAACGGGTTGGAAGACATGTTTGAAGACTCCTATCCTCCAAGCCCTGAACCCTAGACCCTACACCCAAAACGGCAAGTCGGGGTTCTTGGCGTGAGTTGTGGGCCAACAATCCGATTGCACACGAACTCAAGGACTGCGCAAAGAAGCAAGGAAGACGATTGACAGTCAAGCACAATCTGGCTCCGTCGATCCAGTCGATGCGTATTATGCATTGGTTGTCGGGGATGGCGATGAGAATGAACGTGTACAAACTCGCAAGGAAATCGGCAAAATGGCTGATCAGTTGCAAGCCTCAGGGTAACCCTTGCATCACAGGCTCCGTCGGCGAAACCATTGTCAGCGAACGTGTGTCTATGCCCAGAATACATGCAAACTCATGAATCGAGAACATGTTCACAAGTCTCGTTACTTGACACAGAGGCTACAGCTTGCTGCAGAGTCGGTCCTGGATTTCTGGGAAGTTTATGGGGCTCAACGGGAACGTGTTGATAACTGACATCACAGATGCAAAGCACATGTGTTTGTCTCCAGCTATCAATGCCAAAGCTATAGCTACGTTATGCTACGTTTAGCTGCGTTCGATGCCTGAACCGGCTACCCAACTGTGGTTGGAGCTTTGGGGGAGGTGGGGCAGGCACGAGGTGGAGGCGGGCATCTGCTCTTTCAGTTTTTTTCAGGCTCATGGATACGCAAGCCGGATACCCGGTAGCTCTTCATAGAATACGTAGATTGCATTCGACAGATCTAGGCAACGACGCGTTCGCTTGCGTATGTCGTCGCTTGCCTGTTTCGTCTTCCTCGGAGATTTCTTTTTTAAATTTCAGTTGTGGGTTGTATTTTTCTGTTGTGGTGTGAGCGTTTTCGCTTACTCAGACGACTCCAGATTGTATAGTAGGCGTTGTAATGTTTACTTCAGCGAAGCCTCTCACGACTGGAAATTCTTAAGAATACGCTCCCACCTACTCCTCATGAACACAGATTGGGAAATATCAGCAATCGCTTCTCGGTGGTTCCCTATTTGGTTTGGCCTATGCCTCCTGTGCATAGATTCGATGTCTGCACCTGGACAAAAGGGAATTGAAAAAGAATGCGTCCACAGGAAGAGTGTACGTGTGACGAGTTCTGTTGCAGCCGCAGATTTTCCTTGCTCTGTTGCTCCAAGGCTCGAACGGTTTTTTAGGTACAGTCAAGTGCAATGGCCCTCACTCCTTGCACGTCAGCCCACCGTATAAGTCAAGTGTATTCCTAAGGCTTCTACCCAAGCCGCTCACAGGCTTTGGGGATGCTCCAGATGGCTTTGGCAGCCTACATCCGGGGAGACGCGGTCTGTCTGCAAACAATTGAATGTTTCATTTTCGGATTGAATGCACATTTGATATTTTGGCAAGCAGTGCGAATGCTCTCCCCCAATATGGGGTGGGATTAAATTATAGGCTTGGATAAGGTTATAGAGGGACAATGGAAAGGATAACGGAAGCTTCTATTTAGGGCGTGTTTTCTGTTTTGTCGGCATCACCTTTGACCGGGCTGTGATGTCAAGAGAGGTGGTCATCTACAACGCTCTGATTAGCGCAGCTGGGCTGAAATGGATGATGCGGGATCTTGCTAGGAGGGGCTGGCTTGCTCAGGCTTGCTCCTTGCAATGAGAATCTGAGACAAAAGTAGATTTTCCTTTTGTAGCTCTTGGAAAGCATAGACCTGACAAGCAAGGCTCATGCAAAAGGTGCCCAATGGCAGCGGGGTCTCGAGCTGCTGACAGGAATGCGTGGCTTGGAAGCCTTGGGCTTTTCTTTCTTAACTTCTGAGAGTTTTTGGGTCTTAGCCATGACTTGCGCAGCCAAGGAAGCAAAGGGATGCAACCGGATGCCGCAGGCTCAATTGTTTGGTTGGACAAATATTCAGTCAGATGCGGATGCAAGCGAAGACGTCTGATATCAAGCGCTCAGGCTTGAGGGGTTGATGTGGGGTCATGTCTTAATGTCTTAGCTGTATGGGTTCAGGATCAGCCGTTTCGTATGGCATGGTATCTGTCAAAGAGCATTGAAGGGGCGGTTGTTGACCCTGGAAAGGCGCAGCTTTCGGCTGCTCTAAAGACTGCCTGAGGTTTCAGTGCTTTGCCCGCTGCTAGAGGTCATGTGCATGAGGAACCCAGCAGTCAGGCATAAAGAAACACAGAATCCATTCCATTCTGTCTCAGATCTTGTTCATTTTCTTCTGCAAGCCAAGGTCATCAGCCACAACTCCTCTATCAGCACCTCGCCGGCCTTAAAGGGCACTGGGATCTTCTAGACAATGTATTTGTTATTTATTACGGACCATATGTAATGTGTTTCCCCAAACCTACCAAAGTTCAACGGGTACTGTATATCCTGAAGGTTACGCCAAACAAGATCATTTTTTTTGTGCTGGAGGCAGCCCGGCAGACCATTCAGGCCCTTGCGGTAGCCTAGCTGATCCTTATTGTTGGTTGCTCGCTTCCCCGAATTCAGTTCAGGTCTGATCCGTGATGCAAGCTTTGAACATTCCTGTGCACCTGTACATGTGACCGCGTCATCGAAGCTGGATGTAAGGATATGTAAGCTGGAAAGGTGCGAGGGAGTGTCAGAAACTTCCTTGGGTACATTGCATACATATTACACAGACCCGGCCCGAAAATGGGCATGGAACTCCAAAGAGGGCCACATAAAGACTTTTTCTTTTCGGCAGCAACATGGTTAGTATAAAAGGCCTGGCCTCAACCACCGACCCCGGTTTCCAGGTGCTTGTGCTCCACACCTCCAATGGCTGCAGGGGCTTTCTTCGCTGTCAGACCTGCAGGCCTGATCTGCAAGAGCCAATGGCCATGTCATGTGTCAAACAGCAAGACAAGCATCTTTTGTCATCATGCTTACGGGTCAAGAGGGATTGTCATTCGTGAGTCTTGGAGCAATTCCAATCAAGCCGTGATGACTCTGTCCACCCTGCGAAAACTATGCACGACAGTCGTGGACAGGCCAATAGCGTGCAGCGTGATGCAATCTCTTGCAATGCCTGTGCGTCTTGCTGCGTGCTTTGGCTGCATCTAGATGGTTAACCGAAGTGCGTCCGTCCAACACCACTACTGAGATTTGCGCAGTTTCTTTTCATCCTAAGGTCTCTCTCTCTCTCTCTCTCTCTCTCTTCCTTACTAAGCACCACGGCTCGAATCAGTC